CGTCGTTGTGTGGACGGTTACAGGGTTAATTCGAATTAAAGCTGATAAATCCGAATTAAAGTCGTAGTGTAGACCAGGCCTTACTGTGGGAGCCTCATTGCTAGTGCAGGCTGGGCAGTCACTTTTACCAGAGACGCTGTTCCATAGCAGCTCCAATGCTTGGACCTGGTTATCAGTGATTTCCGCTCTAGTGATCCAAAACAAAAGACTCTCAACTGAATCGTAATCAGCTCTGTCATTAAACAGTGGGGAGGGGGAAGGACAAATGGTGTCTAGAACTCTTAGGCAGAGCTCACACCACCATATACAGACACCCATCCTCACCCTCTCATTTCTCCACTGGGCTTCAGTGCTCCTACCCTCTGCTTAGCGAGTGGAGTTCAGTTGAGGTTGAGCCTCTCAGTCAGGGTATGCCAAGCACAGATCTGCTGCCCTCTATTCACACAACAAGGATAATAAAACTTTATCACTCCTGCACCCAATGCCAAAGTGATTTGCAATCCAACACCAGCTAAAAGTGATCATTTGGGCAAAGCGGCTCCATCATGCTGCGCACCTAGGCAGAGTGGGCAGGTCTATGCAAACTAGGTCGGCTCCTTATATCTTCTCCCCCAGCTCACCACTAGATGTCAGGGGAGAGCTCATTCGGACTCTGCTAACAGCTCTTTCTGAATCGGAATATTTCATACATGAAATATTTCGAGATTTTGACTTTTCCTCATCATTTGGGACCAACACAAATTTAGAAATGTCAGAATTTCCCACAGAACAGAAATTCCATTTTCCAGCCAGCTCTGATCATTACTGGAAAACACAACTTTAAAGGACAAGATGTACAAAAGTGTGTGATACCTACAGAAACAAATGTCCCACTTCTGTATGGCCAGCACATTTACCCAGCTGACTTTAGTGAAATGATCTTTCCCTTCAATTTCACTTGGTATGAGGTCACCAAATTAAAAGAGACAGGCTAAAAGCTTCTTTCAATGAGTTTTTAAAGTATTTAAGTCAAGAATTTAAGTCTCTTTCTCAAAGCTCTGCTCTAGCTCAGCCAGGAATTATTGGGCAGATGCAGGAATCACTGTGGGAGATTCTCTGGCCTGGGTTATTCATAGATTCCCAAATCAGAAGGTATTATTGTGATCATCTATTACAGCACAAGCCACAGAACTTCCCCCAAATAATTCCTAGAGCAGCACTTTTTATAAAAACATCCAATCTTGATTTACAAGATTATGTAGGAGGCTGGACTGGGTGAATACATTGGGCCCTTTTGACCTGAAAATCTGAGACCCTACAAATGTCTGACCTCTCTGAATGCTGTAGGCTCTGCCAGACCAAACTCACTGTTGCCACAAAATTAATGGTGGCCACATTTAGTGCTACAGGATGAATTTTATCCATGAAGCAGTTTTCACTGGGAGGTGGCATTGCATTTTATACCTGTAAATCTTCACTTCAGAAGGGTTAATGGAAGGACTGTTCCTTCTGGTTCAGATGAAGTGTATTCAAATAGGGTCTTTCTTGACTTTCTCCTTTTTTCCCCTTTTATCTTAAATACTATGGTAACTTTACTGCAGGGATTTCATTGCGTATGAGGTTTGAACAACTGTGAAGCTAGGCAGCCATAGTGTATTGGTTTGGGGCTAATACTGAACTCTCTTGGCAGCTGCAGACCAGAATACATGGACCAGTGCTGAAACTGCAGAAAAACAGTCCCAACTTGTGAATTCCATGAAAAATCTGGTTGAAAAGGCCCAAACACCTTGGCCTCAAATATTCCTTATTAGAAATCTTTGTAATTTCTATGGGCTGAACATAATGCAGAAGATTCTTCAGCAAGAGTCGTGGATTTTACCCAGAGGAATTGAGACTTCACAGGTAAGTGGCTTCCAAAGGCGACAGAATTTTATGCTTACAGAAACTGTATGAATAGTTTGCATCTCCTTTCTACAGGATGGTTAATTCAAGCGACCTGTTTTCACCTGAAAGCCAGGGCCATCCCTAGGGGGTTGCAGGGCCTGGGACAACCCCCCACCTCCGTGACTCTTCCTGCCCCTGCACTGCCTCTTCCCACACCAACTCTGCTTCCACTCCACCCCTTCCTGCCCCATCCCCATTCTGCCCCTTCCCCCAAACTCCTGCCCCCACCCTGCCTCTTCCTGCTCCCTCCCCCGTTCTTCCCCTTCCCCCAAGGCCCCGCCCCACTTCTCCCGAGCAATGCCGGGAGCCAGCGAGGTAGAGTGAAGCAGGGCCAGTCCCGCTGCCGCCAGCCTCTGCCCTTCCCAGGCCCCGTGTCTCCCTGAAGTGCAGGACCCCCCAAAGTACAGGGACCCGGGGCAACTGCCCCGAACCGTCCAATGGCTCTGCTGAAAGCAGTTTTGTTCTTGATAAGCAAAAACTGCTGCAAACCACAGAATTGGTAAAACATGACCTTTGGGCTTTTGTGGGTTATTTTCAAAATGATTCTGGTATTTCGATTGAGAGCTCTTTGTGGCGGGGACTGTCTCTCAGTACATGGGTGCAGCGCCTTGCGCAATGGGGCTCTGATCTTAGTTACTGTGGGCAGGTTTACACTTAAAATACTGCACTGGCACAGCTGCCCCGCTGTAGCGCTTTAATGAAGAGAGCTCTCCTGTTGGTGTAGTTAATCCACCTCCCCGACAGGCGGTAGCTACATCTGCAAGTGAGGTTCTCCCGCTCACTGATATAGCAGTATCTACACGGTGGGTTAGGTTGGTATATCTATATCGCTCAGGGAGGACTGTTGTCAGTCACTTTGTGTCTGTGCAGTTCCTGGCACTATGGGCCTCAATCAAGATTGTGGCTTCTAGACACTGACATAATACAAATAATAAAACAATACATAAAATAAGAATAATAATTAATAATAAAATACATGAAAAATATTTTAATTAACCTTCAAATGTAACTGGTCTGATAGGATTCTTTAGCGGCCTCTTGCTATAAAATGATGTGCCTTAAATAGTACATAGACAGCTTCTTTATAACAAAAGTATAAAATATTTTTATTTCCTTAGGACATGAAAATCAGCTCCAATACACCCTTGATGCTTGTGACGCTAGACAGAGCAAGAGGCCACATTAGAAACACAGACTCCGAAGAAGCCAAGCAAATAACAGTGAGTCGCTGTTTTCTATTTTAATGGAACATGGTTTGGTTTGTGATTCTGTACAAGTGAAATTCACCCCTGTGCAGAAAGCCAGCACAATTGACACCAGCTCAGGATCTGCTGCATAGGACCTGAATCAGAGACTCAGAGAACTAGAAGGGACCTCGAGAGGCCATCAAGTCCAGCCCCCTCCACTCATGGCAGGACCATGCACCATCTAGACCATCCCTGACAGGTGTCTGTCAAACCTGCTCTTAAAAATCTCCAATGATGGAGATTCCACAACCTCCCTAGGCAATTTATTCCAGTACCTAACCACCCTGACAGTTAGGAAGTTTTCCGTAATGTCCAACTTAAACCTCCCTTGCTGCAATTTAAGCCCTTTGCTCCTTGACCTATCCTCAGAGGTTAAGAAAAGCAATTTTTCTTCCTCCTCCTTGTAACAACCTTTTAGATACTTGAAAACTGTTGTCATGTCCCGTCTCAGTTTTCTCTTCTCCAGACTAAACAAACCCGATTTTTTCAATCTTCTGTTATAGGTCATGTTTTCTAGACCTTTAATCATTTTTTTTGCTCTTCTCTGGACTCTCTCTAATTTGTCCACATCCTTCCTGAAATGTGGCACCCAGAACTGGACACAATACTTCAGTTGAGGCCTAATCAGCGTGGAGTAGAGCGGAAGAATTACTTCTTGTGTCTTGCTTTCAGCACTCCTGCTAATGCAGCCCAGAAGGGGTTGCTTTTTTTGCAACAGTGTTACACTGTTGAATGACTCATATTTAGCTTGTGGTCCACTATGACCCCTAGATCCCTTTCCGCAGTACTCCTTCCTAGGCAGTCATTTCCCATTCTGTATGTGTGCAACTGATTGTTCCTTCCTAAGTGGAGTACTTTGCATTTGTCCTTACTGAATTTCATCCTATTTACCTCAGACCATTTCTCCAGTTTGTCCAGATCATTTTGAATTTTAATCCTATCCTCCAAAGCACTTGCAACCCCTCCCAGCTTGGTATCATCCACAAACTTTATAAGCATACTCTCTATGCCATTATCTAAATCATTGATGAAGATATTGAACAGAACCAGACCCAAAACTGCTCTCTGTGGGACCCCACTCGTTATGCCCTTCCAGCATGACTGTGAACCACTGATAACTATTCTCTGGGAACGGTTTTCCAATCAGTTATGCACCCACCTTATAGTAGCTCCATCTAGGTTGCATTTCCCTAGTTTTGTTTATGAGAAGATCATGCGAGACAGTATCAAAAGCCTTATTAAAGTCAAGATATACCAAAGCTATCAGGTTGGTTTGACACAATTTGTTTTTGACAAATCCATGCTGGCTGTTACTTATCATCTTATTATCTTTTAGATGTTTGCAAACTGATTGCTTAATTATTTGCTCCATTATCTTTCTGGGTACAGAAGTTAAGCTGACTGGTCTGTAATTCCCCGGGTTGTCCTTATTTCCCTTTTTATAGATGGGCACTATATTTGCCCTTTTCCAATCTTCTGGAATCTCTTGCATCTTCCATGACTTTTCGAAGATAATCGCTAATGGCTCATATATCTACTCAGTCAGCTCCTTGAGTATCTAGGATGCATTTCATCAGGCCCTGGTGACTTGAGGACATATAATTTGTCCAAGTAATTTTTAACTTGTTTTTTCCCTATTTTAGCCTCTTCTGATCCTACTTTAGTTTCACTGGCATTCACTATGTTAAATGCCCAATCACCACCAACCTTCTTGGTGAAAACCGAAACAAAGAAGTCATTAAACACCTCTGCCATTTCCACATTTTCTGTTGTTGTTTCCCTCCCACCATCACCCCACATTGAGTAACTGGCCTACCCTGTCCTTGGTCTTCCTCTTGCTTCTAATATATTTGTAGAATGTTTTGTTGTTAGCCTTTATGTCTCTAGCTAGTTTGATCTCATTTTGTACCTGGTCTTTCTAATTTTGTTCCTACATACTTGTGTTATTTGTTTATATTCATTCTTTGTAATTTGACCTCGTTTCCACTTTTTGTAGGACTCTTTTATTTTTTTTAGATCATTGAAAATCTCCTGGTTAAGCCAGGGTGGTCTCTAGCCACACTTCCTGTCTTTCCTATGCAGTGGGATAGTTTGCTCTTGTGGGCAAAGGGACTTAATGGGACTTAACTGGTGCCTACTGTAATTATAGGGAATGTGCCTTTAAGGTCTGAGCTTCCCAGACAGACAGTCAGGTGGGGTGCTGTGAATCTCTTGTTATTACAGCCAGTTGGAAACAGAACAAAGCAGATCTCTTTGCAAGCTTCTATGCACTGAGCCATCACTGAACACCACGGTCTTGCGCTGGCTTCTCTGCACAGGGGTGAATTTCATCCTGATTATAAAACACAACAGAGATCAGTGTGACCCTCTGGAGTGAAATGTGCAAAGTGGAGACCATAAACCTCTCTCTGTTTTATTTGATTGTCATTTAGGCCATCACAAAGCACATGGAGAGGCTCCTACAGGCATCGCGGCCATCAGAAGAATCCATGGAAAACAAATTGGAAAAGATCATGAGTGACGTGAGCAGCCAGGAGAACGCAGCCTTGCTGGAAGTGGTGCTGCATACTGCTCTCACGCTGACCCTGTCCCAGCACCCGCTCACCGAGCTATTCAAATCCATCTGCTTCCAGCCCAGCGCTGTCAAGGTGAGTCTAAAGCAAAGAGCCATTGTATTCCTCCTTGGCCCCAGCAGCTCTGTGTGCCACTGACATCATCCCCTTTATGCCCCTTTCTGTCTGCAGTGTCAGTTACAGCAGCTTTTGGGTATGGGAGGAACTTAAGATCTGTCCCTATAAATACAGATATATTTAAAATCATCCAAAATCATGGCCACTGTGCCACATCCCACCTGCACTTTGCTTCTGGGTCTCGTCCTGTTCTGTTAACTCAGTTGCTAACGAGAGACTTTGGACTTTCTAGTCCAAAAACCCCCAAAGTCACTATTTGCATCCCCCCCCCTTACAGTGACGAATGCTGGGGATATGTGCACGACAGCACCTGCCTGAGGTTCTGGGGGCTCCAGGGAAATAGAATCGAAAGAATTTAAGGCCGGAAAGAACCATTATAACCCCCTGCATAACCCAGACCAGAGAATCTCACTCAGTTACCATTGTTTGGAGCCCTGAATTATCCACCTGGCTGTCTGTCCATCTGTGTGTGTCTGTTTGCAGTGAACCATTATCTTAATGTCAGCTGATAAAGTTCGATTTTCCTGTTGAAATCAAAAGGGAAATGAAAGTTTCCACAAGTCATTGGGCCGAACGCAGGACGCGCAAGGGTGAGATTCTCTGGATTGTGATATGCAGGAGACCAGGCTGGATGGTCAGAAAGGTTCCTTCTGGCCTTGACATCGATGACTCTTTCCCTCATGTGGCTAGTTTCCCAAGTTATGGCACCAAATTCCCGGAGGAAGAATTCTGTCTTTGTTCAGGCCGAGAAAGCCCCCTAGCACAAGGAAATGAAACCCTGTACCTGGGAGGAAGGGGGAGAATTGGTCATGAAGCTGGGTTGGCGCAGCACAAACACCCCTTGTGAGAATTGACGTGGCCTAGCCGGCAGCCCGCTTTGGAGGCTGAGCACTTTTATAGGCCCATTTTGGCTTTATGATTCCATACCAGTATTTTATTATTCATTCAGAGGGGCTGTGTCCTTGGGCGATCAGGCACTGGACTAATACTCAGGTTTCCTGGGTTCTGTTCCCACCTCTCCCTGGGTGACTTGGGCAAATCACTGAACCTTTCTCCTTCTTAGTTTCTCCTCCCACCTCTTGTCTATTTATATTGTAACTCGTTGGGGCAGGGATTGTCTCATTATATGTCTGTATGGTGCTGGGCACAACAGGATCCCAATCTTGGTCGCTGTGTGTCCGAGCAGTGCCCAGCCCGACGGAACCCTGATCTCAGTCGCTGTGTGTCCGAGCAGTGCCTGGCATAGAATCATAGAAGATTAGGGTGGGAAGAGACCTCAGGAGGTCATCTAGTCCAATCCCCTGCTCAAAGCAGGACCAACCCCAACTAAATCATCCCACCCAAGGCTTTGTCAAGCCGGGCCTTAAAAACCTCTAAGGAAGGAGATTCCACCACCTCCCTAGGTAACCCATTCCAGTGCTTCACCACCCTCCCAGTGAAATAGTGTTTCCTAATATCCAATGTAGACCTCCCCCACTGCAACTTGAGACCATTGCTCCTTGTTCTGTCATCTGCCTCCACTGAGAACAG